TCCTCCCGTCGGCGGCTGCTGCCCCGCCATGGATGGACACCAAACCAGACCACCACGACCACCGACCTCCTCGTCGTCTTCGTCGGCGAGGCGAGGCGCGGCGCGAGCTCCTGGCGCGGTGGCGCGAGGGGCGAGAGAGAGAGAGAGAGGAGAGAGAGAGAGAGTGGGGGAGGAGTGAGGAGAGAGGCGTTGTCTTCTCTTCTTTAGTAGAGGTCGGAGGAGAGAGAAACAGAGATGGGTTGTGGGCCGTGGAGGAGGAGGGCCATATAGAAGATGAGACAAATACCCCTGGGGGATATGCAATTATTCCTTTCAACAATGGCCTTTATATTGTCATTAAGAGCAAGTTTAATAGTATAGGCCACTACTAACTCTAAATCATCTATAGCCAATGTAATAGTCAATTCATACAATAGTTGCTTACTATACTATTAATAACTGGTCCCACATGTCATACATTCATTACGTCTTGAAGTCCGTGCTGTAGCTGGCTACAGATCTATAGCCCGCTGCTCTTCTCTCTCTTCCTTTCTCTCTTTAAAATATGTTTATAACTAGCTTATAGCCTACTATTGTACCTGCTCTAATTATTGGCAGTATGATTCTTAGCCAGGTTCTTTCCTTCAGCTACAAACTGTAAACTCCATCGTTTTATGTTGCTTTGTAAATTGCTAAACATGTGTTTTGTCTAAAAAAATTCTATATAAAAGTATCTTTAAAAATAAATAAGACAATTTTTCATGTTTATGATTATTAATATTTAATTAATCATACGTTAATGAGTTTTTTTCTTCACGTGCGAACAAATATCCCATACCAAACTCAGATAAAAACAGGCCCTTACTACTGCTGCTGTCTTTTGGGGATGGTTTTTCCTCCCTCAGTCTCAACTCTCAAATAAAAAGGAGGAATGGCTTTTGCAAGTGCGAGGTTTTGGAATCATCAATGCTGTGAAACACAACTACATTTGTTTTTGAAAAGCCCTCGCTTTCTTTTCCCCCGATGACCTATTGATTAAATCATTAAGCATTTTCTTGAAAAGACCTAATAAATACCTATGTTTTTTTTTCTAATCTAACTTTTAAAAACTTAACCAAGTTTATTAAAAATATTAACAACATCTACCACACCAAATTAATTGCATTAAGTCTAATTTAGTACTGTTGGAGTATGGAACTCAACAGGGGAAGCTAAATACTCCCCTTTGTGAATACGGCTAGGGTGCAAGATCCAAGCTCGAGTGTTTAATCGCATAGTAAAAATGAACACGAGCACACATATATAGGTTTAGATTGCACAGATACGTAATACCTACTCATATGTGATAGATTATTGATCAATGGATGAATTATAAGTTGATGTGGGAAGAAAAACTAAGTGTGTTGGAGAAATTCCTTGTTCACTGAATGTTTGGTTAACCTAGCTTCAATGAGAGTGTGAACCTTTTTTTGGTGACATGGAACTTTCTTTTATACGTGAAGGAGCTCGTTCACATTGCCATTGCATGTAAGCAAAAGTGGAGAATACTCCTCTGAACTTGATATGTTTAGTCTGATCAATGTCCCTCCTAGCCGGCCTCCGGATATAAAAGGCACATCTGTTAACTAAAGTGGAGAGGGAAGTCAAAAGTTTTCGTTCCAGTTATCTCTAGACCCACATAATAAATCAACAGCCAAAGCCGACAGAGGTGGGTCCCAGTGACGGTTGCTGAGGACGTGCCATGTCAGCATGCCTTCTGTTCTCTCTCCGGTTCACTTGTAGGAGTAGAAGTATACATACACCCCTATCTGCATGCATGCCACGCTGTCCTACTTCTCTGTGATTAGGGTATTTTAGGCTCCAGGTTAATGGGCCGGCCTTATTCGTCCGGCGAGATAGGCCGGCTTCGTGCGACGCGACCCACTGGGCCGGCCTCTTCCCCCGTCGCCGGCCCGGCCATTGTTTCACCAACCGCCCGCCTCAGATCAGTCAAACCAGCTGCCGGAAGACGACGCAGTGCTGACCGGTCGAGGCAGCCGATCGATCTCGATTCTCGAGTCTCGGTTGAACCTGGCAATACAAGGCCAAGCAAAGCTTCTTGCGTTTTGTTTTCCCTTTCGTTTTTTTTTTGTTCTTTTTTCGCATCGGTCAAAGGCTACGAGTTACCATCAACAACAACACAGCTCCATCCATCCATCGGCGTCTCGTCTCGGCGATCGATAGTACTCCTAACACGGACACAAACAAGAAAAGAAGAAGAAGATTTCTACAAGTTTGACAAGTACTCTCTACTCTAGCCAGCAGTAGGAAAGGAATGGGGAACGTTTGTAGCATGATGCATGAGGCAGGATCAGGGTGAAATGGACACCTGCACGGCTGCTAGCACACGGCGTCGTCCATCTCGCTTTCTCTGCTCTTTCCTCAACACCGGGAGAGAACCGGCACGTCTATTAGTTTTCTTTTTATTTTTTCAATAATACTCGTTTTGCTTTTAGACTAGAGTGAAGTATCTACTGCTAGTAGCCTATCGTACAGCCGTACAGGCAAGATACTCTGTAATTAATATTGCGTAAGCTACAGTATATTTTATTTTACTAGCAAATATGCCCGTGCGTTGCAACTGGTGAAAAAACGTAATGATAATATACGTTTTTCATGCATAACCATGTCGATAACAATCAGAAAATTAGAGCGTCGATGGAGTCAGATTCTTTTCAGCTTTTTCCTTTTCTTTTATCAGACAAATTTTTTTTTCGCCCATTTTTTTTCTCCTGTTTTTTTCGGATCGGACTATTTTTTTCTTTTTTCGCCCGGTCGATTTTTTTACCACGATATATATAATTCCTTTTTCTTTGGAATATGATAGTTTTCTTTTTATTTTTTTAAACTCTTTTTACCGCGTCGATGTAGTCGGATTCGTTTCGATTTTTTTCCTTTTTTTGCTTTCTTTTTTGTCGGACAGATTTGTTTTTTTTCCACCCGGTTTTTTTCCGCCCAGGTTTTTTTATCGGACTTTTCTTTTTTTTTTCTCCACGATACATATAATTCATTTTTCTTTGGAATAGGACAGTTTTCTTTTTATCTTTTTAAACTCTTTTTACCGCGTCGATGTAGTCGGATTCGTTTCGGTATTTTTTCCTTTTTTTTCCTTTTTTTTTGTCGGACATATTTGTTTTTTTTCCGCCCGGTTTTTTTTCGCCAGGTTTTTTTATCGGACTTTTCTTTTTTTTTCGCTCGGTTTTTTTCTCCCGTTTTTTGACGGACGACAGAAGCACCTAGAGAAGTGTTTTTTTTCTTTTCTCCAATCCAATACAGATCGGATCTCTTCCAGGGAAATCAGATTTTTTTTCTCCAGGGAATCGGACTCTTTTTTTTTCGCTTTTTTTATTCATTAAACGGTTTGTCTCTCGGACTTTTTTTTCTCTTTTTAAGGGATCGGGTGTTTTTTTGCCAGGGACGGGTGTTTTTTTCGCCCGGTTTTTTTTTTCACTTTTTTTTTGGATCGGACTTTTTTTTTCGTCCGGTTTTTTTGATCGGACAAACTTGGTTTTTTCTGCCCGGTTTTTTTCCACCCGGTTTTTTTGACGGACGATGGAAGCACCTCTTATTTTTTAAGTAGTAGTAGATGATAAATTTTACTGTAGAACACCTGAATTCATGGTTTTATCTCCCAAACACGTAATACACTATTAAAATATGGTTATTTTGTGTTGGTCACTATAGCTATGAAAATATTCATTTCCAATTGAATAAGAGATAAATAGTGTGAAAGATCATAAATATCCTTAGTCCCACGTGCCAGTTTTCCCATCTCCCTTTCTCCTTGTCTCTTCGGCAAGCCATTACGACGCATATAGCATCGCAAGGGAGAAAATATGTTGCTGCCTCGTCCACCAACCTTGAATTCAAACTCTACTATTGCCTCCGCAAAACTTTGCCTCCTCGAGCTTTGTCGTTTGCAACGGGACACAGCTCGAGTAGAAGATGGAGGAAGCCGATCTCGATAGCAAGGCGGTGTAGTTGCGGAGGAAGCGAATCTCAATGCTGCAGCGATAAAGAAGGTGGAGCTCGAGCTCGACTACGAGCGATGTGATCCCTGATGCTCACTGTCGAGGTGGTTCTTTTTTAACTTAGGGGTGATGGATATGGTTATCCCTAAGCTCGAATATCCTGAGCTAGAGGCATCATGATCAATGATGCGCCATTGACAAGATCCCTGCTAAGGGAGGTGTCTAAGCTAGAGTCTACTGGAATCATTTGGACAAGAAGACTCTCGTATGCAAGATGCTAGGTTATGTGTCGTCCTAGAAGCCAATACTATCCGCGGTGTCGTATTGAGGTTTAACCTAGTGCTACTGTACTCATTGTTGCTGCAGAGTTTGGCAAAATACAGAAAAGGACCGAATGCCATGGAGCTTCTTAAGGAGACAAAGGAATATACCCGTCATGGCTTGCCGAAAAGATTGGAAGAAATAAAGAAGAGAGACGAGAAAATTGGCATATGGGGCCATGGGTATTACTTACTTTTCATACAATTTTTCTTATGGACGTGGCAACAACAAATAGCCATAATTTAACTATTAAACGTGTTTTTTTCTCAAGATTGACGTTTACTATATTGGAGCTAAAACTATATAAGTTACGATGCGCTGATGTTGTAAAAGATATTACCATATTTTATAGGCTGAGATTAGAACATCATGTACATTTTAATACTAAAATTTACAAAGTTTGACCGCTCTTCAACTTCATTTTAACTAGACAAAAAAAATTCAAACGATACTGTGGTACTACAGTAATATATACCTACTACAAAGTATACCAAGTACCAACACGAATAGCAAACTCATGTTTGCTTATTGCATTGCACGTGCCACAAGAACAAAAGAACAATATCCCCCATGAGGTCGACTCCGCTGTCACTGACACTGTGGGCCCACCAGGAGGCGCCGGTCCGGCTCGGCCATCCCACCCACACCAACTCCTCCTCCTCGTATTAATACCGACCCAAACACAAACACCGGCTCACACGCTCGCCTCCTCCCTCTATCCCCGACTCGACCACCACCGCCGCCGCGCGCCATCGCCGTCGACCACCACCACCCATGGCGTTCGCGCTCAAGGCCTCAACTGCCTCCGCCGCGGCGGCGTCCACGGCCTCGGCCTCGGCCTCGTCCCTGTCCGTGGCTGCGGCCGCGCCCGGGAGGCGCGGCGGCGCGGCGGGGAGGGTCTCGTTCCGCGGGGTCCCTGCTCCCATGGTGGCGATCAGGGCGGAGGCGGCTGCCGTCGGGGAGGACGAGCGCGTCATCTCCGGCACCTTCGCCAAGCTCAAGGAGCAGGGGAAGGTGAGCGCGGGGGGGCCGTTCTTCGCGCGCGTTTCGATTTGATTTTGATTTTATGCCACCACCCCCCCTCCTCGTCGATTCGGTGCGTGGGGATGCGGCCGATTCGTCATCTCCGCGCGTGTTGGGTGGGGTTGGGGATGTCGTGGTGTGGATCTCCTCTCCCCGTTTGCTCGCGATGGATTTGATTCGTCGCGATTCGTGCGGGGGTAATCGTTGAATCGTTCTGCGGTTGCATACTTGCATTTCAGTGCGGTACGATTGGATGGATTTGCATCCGGTGATACAGGCCGCGGTTGATGGATAATCCTTATCCAGTTTTCCCATGCGTCGTGGGTTTAAATTCGTTTCGAAAAAAAAAATCGTGCCGTCGCGGTCAGGATTGATGATGCGTTGGAATCATCTCGAGGATAATTGAATCATTGTGATTAGTGTTGGATGAGCCCAATCACCTTTCCTTTATTATTTGTGATATATTACTATGTAGAATACCAATTGATATGAGATGACATAGTTATATGTCTCCTAAGTTGTGATAGGCATCCAGATCAGCATTGAGTTCATACCTTGCCTTTCCCCCCTTCTGCAATCCACTTTATGTTTGTTTACTCTCTTATATGTTTGAAAACTTTCAGACCGCATTCATTCCATTCATCACTGCTGGTGACCCTGACTTGGCGACTACAGCGAAAGCGTTGAAGATTCTTGATGCTTGTGGTTCGGATCTGATCGAATTGGGCGTGCCTTACTCTGACCCATTGGCTGATGGCCCCGTCATTCAGGTATACCATGAAAAACCTCTGCTATTGTTCTATGATGTTTGATGGTGGTTGTGAGTCTTGGTTATGAGTAGTTTTAAGTTTTTAACCATTTCATTGCATCATTTCAGGCTTCTGCTACACGTGCACTATCAAAAGGCACCACATTTGAGGATGTTATCTCTATGGTAAAGGAGGTGATACCTGAGCTGTCCTGCCCTGTAGCGCTTTTCACATATTATAACCCGATTCTGAAGCGTGGCATCGCAAACTTCATGACTGTTGTAAAAGAAGCCGGTGTCCATGGTATGTCCTAGATATTTTCTGTTATGAATTTACAAATGCTATTTTATATAAAATGGCATTCTACTCAATACACACCTAATCAACTAGAAGGGGTATTCCATTTCATATCTTGTATTTCAATTTGGACTAACATTAATTTAGGCATTCAGAAAATTAGAACTTGTATAACAACATAGACAAATTTACACCACTGATATTTGTAGAGAGTGTCATCAGACTCCCACTTGTCAGTTGTTATGTGTACATTCTTGCATTTCAATGTATAGAGTTATAGACTATAAAGTAAACCCTTTTCTAGCTGAACTATGGAGTAAACCTAGAACAATATGGTAGTGTTGAACTGTTTATAAAGGTACCTATCAAGTTTCTTATGTATTACTGTGTTGCAGGTCTTGTGGTACCTGATGTTCCTCTGGAAGAGACAAATATTTTGAGGAGTGAAGCTGCTAAGAACAACCTTGAGCTGGTAGGTCCACTCTCATGCTATGAACCTTTTAAAAAAGCTCTAATATTGTTCTGTCAGTATTGCTTTGCTGCAACCGTGCATAACTGAGTAATTTAATTTTGGGTACATGGGTCCTGAGTCCTGAACTTCCATAATTCTGTTCTTTTCCCTTCATATATACAAGATGTTTGTTTCCATGTGGTACTAGCAAGCTTATGTTGCTGCTGATTACCAAAGAACATTGTGTCGTTCTGTCTATGTATATGTAATTTGAGCCCACATCATTTTGGTTATGCCATTTCAGTTAATGAATATGATTTATTTTGCATGGATGCCTACAGGTGCTACTGACAACACCAACTACACCAACAGAAAGAATGGAGAAAATTACAAAAGCTTCTGAAGGATTTATTTATCTTGTGAGCTTCTATATCTTTTTTTAACTTATTTACGAAATCTAATGACCCTGTTCTCATATAGCATATATTCCTGATGGCCAGTCAGTAATTTTGCACCTCATAGACCTCAACGTTCTAAAATTAAACTGAATGCTTGTAATCACAGTGCACTGCTGGAAATTTGTTATTATCAAATCTCAAGAATCTGTTTGATGATAGCGAACTAGATTTATGATGGGGCTTGTTGCTAACTCCTATGTTATTCAGGTAAGCACTGTTGGAGTTACAGGTGCACGTGCAAATGTCAGTGGCAAGGTGCAATCTCTTCTCCAGGATATCAAGCAGGTATGCATCATTCATCGTCAGTGAATTGGTGTTGGCATCTCCAAAACATTTATATAACATTCAAGGATGCTCATAGAATCTCTTGTTCTTTTCTAGGTCACGGACAAAGCTGTGGCTGTTGGGTTCGGTATATCGACTCCAGAGCATGTGAAGCAGGTAAATCATACTCAAGAACTTATGTTCAAAACAGTATACGTTTAATTCCCCCCAATTCATTGCATGACCTTTGTCGCTTCATTCCTTGTAACAGATTGCGGGATGGGGCGCAGATGGTGTGATCATTGGGAGCGCTATGGTGAGGCAATTGGGCGAAGCTGCTTCACCCGAAGAAGGATTGAAGAAGCTAGAAGAGCTAGCCAAGAGCCTGAAGGCTGCATTGCCCTGAAACAATCAGTTCCATGAGGAAAGAAAATACAGTCCATTTTTTTGTAGTCAGGTTTGAAGCATAGTATTGGGAGCATGACTTTTGCTATTGGGGTTTTCGGGGTTACTGTTGTCTGTTGAAAATAATTAAGTCATTGTGTTAGTTGCTTGAACGAATAAATCAAGGTAAGAATGATACTAAATGTTGCGAAAAGGGCCTAACACTGTTTTCGCTTTGTCGTTGGTGCAAATATCGAAGAGCGGATATAAACGGAGAAAATAATGTCGTAATTCACCTATGGTTTACCTGACTGATTCATGTCATTCTGAAACCCAGCTATATAACGATATGAGCCCATTCTGTCAATGGATGAGGCGGCACGACATTGGTTCTGAAAATGACGTTGCTCTTGGCTGTAGTTTGTCTAATACCAAGTCCAAGTATCAATTTATTTTCACAAATACTCCATCGTGTTTGCCATTTTCTTTTCGAGATTGCGTTTATCATTTTATCTGAATTACCAAGTCAACATGACTTGGCTGAAACTGAAATGTACATTTTCTGAGGCCCTGCACTACAGTCTACAGGCACTTTGGATTGTTCAGCTGCAGCCCACGTATCAGATGATATCTCCTACCTCTGTTTTATGTGCTTACTGTAATTGGATGCCAATTACATTACTTGCTGAATTTAATAAAAATCTAGACAATCTAAGCAGATTATACCAACCAGCTCTGTAGTCAATTGAAAAGTCAATAACTTGTCAAGTAAAACCTTGGATTTGTGGCGATCCCTGAACTTCCAACAAAGCAAAGCAAAAGTCCATGCTTTGACATATATTAGTAAATCTATGTGTTGCAAAGCAAACTTCTATTTTGCATCTCTGTTCTTCCTACTGTTATTAACGCGTGGAATGACAAGAAAGCCCTCGAGAGAATATCATAAGGTTTATGCCAAAGGTTACACATGATCCCAAACACATACATGAACATGACAAAACCAAGATGGTATTGAAGTACAAATATAAGAATATTTTTTTCCATGCTAGTTCCTACTCACAACCCACCACAAACCTGAGGAAGGCTGAGGAGTTAGGACAGGTGGTAGAAAGATTTGATTTGCACAAATCTTTGTCAAGAGAAAGGAACCATTGGCTTTATCCTGCCTTTTAGTTCTTGGATAGGGGGACATCACAGGGGAAAGGAGGAGGTTCTCCTCACACTCCACCACAGAAGGCCAGGAGTAAGCAATGATATTCCCCTTTTCAAAAAACATGAAGTGCAAAAGAGGGAGAATTTAGAGATCTATGTCTTGGCTTTGGTCACAAAACCCTTATCGGATAAGTGTCGTATTCTGTCCTCGAAAGATTCCAAATATGCCGTATGCTCGTTGCGTGGGTTTATTAAATTGAGTAATCACCATGATTGCAAGAGACATATTAATAATTATTAATTAGGGATAGATATCAGATATATCGGTTATTTAGATACAACATTTCTTGTTTCCTTACAGAGTAAAAACATAAATATTAGTTTTTTGAGTAAATTCAGAAAACTGCACTTTTATTGACTAAACTATTACTTTGCTGCAACCTTTGCGCCACTTTTCAGAAAACTGCAACATTAGTGTTAGAAATTATCACATAGCTGCAATTTTTTCGGGATTCCCTGTTACTGACATTCCGGGCCCACATGTCATACATATATGCTTGAGAGAGGAAGGAACGGAGCGCCACGTCAGCATGCCACCTCATGGCTTTTTTTACTGTAGCGATGCCACGTCAGTGCGTGTTCGGGAGGAAAAAATCGTGGTCCGGTTGCACCATTTGGCTCGGTCAGGTGCACAGGCCGACAGGGTCAAAGGCAGGTCCAAGACCTGATAACGACACATTACTATTGCCCTGATTCTCACCGTACTACTGCCTCGATTCCCAGCATCGACTAGGAAGATTGCGGTGGCGACGGTGGGAATTGGGGGAGTAGTAATGTGTCGTTATCAGGTCTTGGACCTGCCTTTGACCCTGTCGGCCTGTGCCCTTGACCGAGCCAAATGGTGCAGCCGGACCACAATTTTTTCCGCCCGAACACGCACTGACATGGCATCGCTACAGTAAAAAAAAAAGCCATGAGGTGGCATGCTGACGTGCCGCTCCGTTTCTCCCTCTCTCGAGCATATATGTATGACATGTGGGCCCGGAATGTCAGTAACAGGGAATCCTGAAAAAAATGCAGCTATGTGATAATTTTCAACGCTAATGTTGCAGTTTTCTGAAAAGTGTCGCAAAGGTTGCAGCAAAGTGATAGTTTAGTCAATAAAACTGCAGTTTTCTGAAATTTACTCTAGTTTTTTTACCTATCTAGTTGGTTTTATGTGTAACTAAACCTTACATCAGATCAAAACAAGTTTATAAATTCACCACATATTTCCCTCAGCTCACATCTTTCTGAGAACATGATAAATTCATTACATTGTGCTACACCATATGGGGACTTTAGAACATGTTCGTCTTCTTTTTTTTTCTTTTTTCTTTTTTACATTTTACCCTCTCAGTTTACAAATACTTGTTAGCTTTGCCTGGATATGTAACCCAACACTATGATACAAATTTTGTCAATTCTCTAAAATTTTTCAAGTTTGAAACAAATTAAGATGTATGGTTGTGGGTGAATTAATCTACATTGATAGGAAATGCGTTAAAGTACATGCAAAGCTTATGAAATTATTGCAAGTAGTCATCATGCCTCAGTGAGTCAGTGTACATACTTGTAGTGCATAACCAAATTCTTTTTCATATACTAGAAAGATTCAAAGCTGCAAATGTGCATGTGAGGTTGATGAATGGAATACACAATAATACATGACAATAAACACATATTAAAGAATTTAGTGCAAAAAAATTGTATTGTCATGGTACACATTTTAACAATTTTCTTTACTTTTTATACATTGTAAATATTAATTAATATCTAAAACAAAATATAAAGTACGGGAATAAAATTTAATTGGCTAATGTGGAAATGGCATGGAGCTAAATGTTCTATATATGGTCCTAACGTTTAAAGATAAAATACATATGTGCTTGTGTTACTAATAATATCTAAAAGACTAAGTAGTATGTATTAAATATGCTAGAGAACATAAGAAACTTAAAAACTTGACGTGGCAAAATGGGCGCTTAAGCGACACATATTGCACTTTCAGCTGATCTTATTCCCCCTTTTAAATTTCATGTCCCCATTTTGATTATCACATGGAATCAACCACATTATACCTATGCATTCTTGTGATTTCTGAAATTAAACTCGAAAGCAACCAAGTAAAGAGGAGGGGGAGAAAAAGTTAGCAGAAAACATGGATGATACATGTCAATAAGCTGCTAGCATAACCATAAGTGTAGGGCACGTTTCTTAGGACAATGGTATAAAGTTACAAACTGAAATATCATTGTTAGGTCAGTTTGATATAATCAGTTTGGATTACTATAGACACTTGTCATAGTAAATAGAGATGGATCATTTCTTAAGTAGCATCACTACTCTTATTCACGAATGTCTTTGCTACCCTTTCTGTTATACTTTTCCTCTTTTTCTGTAGAAAGCCATTTGTCCTTATATTATCATTGTCAAATTAAGGATGCGTAATCTACACCCTCACTCAAAAACTTTGATAAGATAAAAACAAATAAATCCATGCCTTTATAGAACCTTGTCAAAATTATGCTACACCTGTGCTAGGAACACCATACCATCGTAGCTTACTTGCACGCTTTCTGTTAACCCTTTTTCCTAATAAAAACGTATTCGTCCGTATCGTTGTTATCGCTTTGATCGTGTGGGTTTCACTTTATATCCGTTGAAACCTCTGTTAACACGTCCAAATTATTTATATCGGTATTATCACTCAAGATCGTGCGGGTTGTTTTGCTTTTTACGTTTCTTGAAGCTTCTAAAGAGGGGACAAACCTATATAAATAGGAGAGGAGAGCACCCTCTCAACTCAGTTCAAAATTGAAAAAAAAAAGAAAAAAAAAGAGAAGAAAAAAAAACCCATGGGTTGCGTAGCCGTAGCTTTCCCACCATTTCCTTCTCTCCGAAGCCTCCTCCTCTCCGCTTCCTCCCGCGAAACCAAATTCCAAAGCATTTGATCGAATTTCTCCCAAACTTTTCCAGCGTTTTCAATTTCGCCCCGATTTCGGTTCGAAAACCCCTCGCGAATTCATTTCAAACTCGTCCGAGAGCGCAATGGAGCACGTGTTCGCCGTCGACGAGATCCCCGACCCGCTGTGGGCTCCGCCGCCGCCGGTGCAGCCGGCGGCGGCCGCCGGAGTAGATGACGTCGGCGCGGTGAGCGGCGGCGGGTTGCTGGAGCGGTGCCCGTCGGGGTGGAACCTCGAGAGGTTTCTGGAGGAGCTCGACGGCGTCCCTGCACCGGCGGCGAGCCCGGACGGCGCGGCGATTTACCCTAGCCCGATGCCGGCGGCGGCGGCGGAGGCGGCGGCGCGCTGGAGTAGGGGCTACGGCGATCGTGAGGCGGTGGGGGTGATGCCCATGCCCGCGGCCGCGCTTCCGGCGGCGCCGGCGAGCGCGGCGATGGACCCCGTGGAGTACAACGCGATGCTGAAGCGGAAGCTGGACGAGGACCTCGCCACCGTCGCCATGTGGAGGGTACTCTCTCTCATCTCGATCGCTGCTTGCTTTGCTTGCTTCATGGCTTGTACAGTTGTACTGGTGGGTTCACCATTTGGGGTGGTGGTGATGGGATGGCTGTGGCGTAATTAAGTGCAATTTTTAGGGCATTTCCTGTGATTACTGTGGCTAGATGGTCGCAATTTAGCATAGATGTGACATATCCTAGCTGTTACTATGAATCTGGACCGGCTCTCTGTCCAGATTCATAGTACTAGATGTGTCACATCCCTCTAAATCTCTTATATTATAAGGAGGGAGTATAAATTAATTTTATAAGAGCACGCGTTGATGTCGATATCCGCATCGTAAGCCCAGGCACTACTCACGTGTGTGCTTTCTTATCCATACTTTAATATTGTCAGAGTGGGATGAGACAAACTTTAATATTGTCGGGGTGTGGTATAATATTTATATTATTTCCGTGTATAGATTTAGGAGTAATATGGATTAGGATTGCATGGAGGTGTAGAGACTTTATGTGACTTCTTGGAGCCGTGCATTGCTTGAGTGCAAAGTTAACAATTTGGTTACATGTTGCAAAAATGATGTATAGATCATAGGTCATTGCACTTATTTTGGGTGGTCCTAGGCGGTATGATTCATGGAATATTTTTTGGAAATTCTGTATTTTACCATATTTGCATTACTTTTCTTATTATTGTTGTTTGAAGGAATTATTAGGTCACATACCCTTGGAAGATGAAATTATTTTAGTAGAAAAAAAGAAACTGTTATATTGGAATCTGGTAAATTTGGACCTAGAAATTCTCACCAGTCGATTGTAGATGGGGAAGCAGAGCTTTCTTTTTAGAGATTTGCTCCGCTCCAACAAAAAGTACCTCGAGGTACTGGTACCTCATGGTACCAAATCGTTTCCGATCGTTGGATCTAACAATGCACATCCTGCCTAATTAGATCCAACGATCGAAAATGATTTGGTACCGTGAGGTACCGGTACCTCGAGGTACTTTTTGTTGGACCGGAGAAAATATCTTCTTTTTATGTTAGTTTTCTAAGTGGGGTATATAATTTTTGCAATTGGATATCATACTTTGAACTCATTATGTGGGTTCAGTTTACAAATGACTACAGAACATGTTGATCTGAGCTTTTGCTAGTTGATTTCAGTTTACAATGTGAAACGGTTCCCTATATAAGATTATAATGCCATTAGAACTAATTAACTATGAGAGTGTGTGTTTAGCTCCGATAGTTATTAAGTCCCTTTGCATTCTGACTTCAATTTTTGGCATGTCCATCCATCCACAGGCCTCTGGTGCAATACATTCTGAGAGTCCTCTAGGCAATAAAACATCACTGAGTATAGTTGGTTCCATCCTGAGTTCACAGAAGTGCATTGAAGGTATTCTATTATGCATATGTGCTTAGTTAAATCTTCTCAGTACCTATGAGTTATGACTTATGAGTAATCTCTAATGTTGTAAGCAAATCTAATTTTTGCGTAATGTAGTTTTCATATTATATATATCTGATTGGATTTTCCCCCTATTTCGACACATTCAGGTAACGGGATACTAGTGCAGACCAAGTTAAGTCCTGGCCCAAATGGAGGATCAGGCCCATATGTAAATCAAAATACAGATGCTCATGCCAAGCAAGCTACGAGTGGTTCCTCAAGGGAGCCATCACCATCAGAGGATGATGATATGGAAGGAGATGCAGAGGCAATGGGAAATATGATCCTTGATGAAGAAGATAAAGTGAAGAAAAGGTAATATGTATTCTTTTGCTTGTGTATTTTTATTTTTCAATTCAACACATACAAAGAGTAAACACTGAGCATTAGCATTAGAAATTAGGGGACTTTTACATCTATTGATTTCCTTTTTTCTTAGAAATAGCTTTTAAGTAATATGCTTTAGATTATCAAGATAATGGATCCTTAGTTTCTTTCTAGGTGTTTCATGTTTGTACTGGATGTATTTGATTATATACAACATTCTCACTTTTTTCTTAGAAATGCTTGAGCTAATGCTTGCTAGGTGTTTCAATGCTTTATATACCTGACTGAATTTTGGTAATGCTTGTTACAAGCTGGTGCATTAAGGATAATTATTGTTTCCGTGCAAGCAGCTATTCATGCAAAAAAGGAAAAATGCAACGTGTATGATTAGAACAATTTAGGAGGCATTTGCTTCTTGCTTTTCATAACATGCTGGGAATATCATGTCCTGTTGTGTCTAGTTGCTTTTTCTACATATGAAAAATTGAGTTTATCTACTGTGGTCTTTTTTTTCGCAGCAGTCAGACATTCATGTCGCCTTTTTTTGTGTAATAAATACAGCCGGATATTTGAGATTTGAGCTTGTGTTCTTGTCCAATTTCAGGAAGGAATCCAACCGGGAGTCAGCTAGACGCTCAAGAAGCAGAAAGGCAGCTCGCCTAAAAGACCTGGAGGAGCAGGTTTTGTGTTTTACACTATTCCATTTGACTGCACAACAAAGTTTTGGAATATGTAAGTAACAAGTGTAATTGTTGCTAAATCATTGCAGGTATCACTATTAAGGGTTGAAAACTCTTCTCTGTTGAGGCGTCTTGCTGATGCAAATCAGAAGTACAGTGCTGCTGCTATTGACAATAGGGTACTAATGGCAGACATTGAAGCCCTAAGAGCAAAGGTATGCAACTGTTTAAGTGCCTTTTAGTCCTCTGTATGAACTGAACCTCTCTTTCAAATAGGTATCCAATTATCCATGTGCATTGATTCTGGTCAGTATTGTGCATCTTTCATGGTGTAGAAAACCGGAATATTCTACATATCAAACATATACCAAATTTTCTTGGAATGAAACGAACTTCTAGCATTTGTTCTTAAAATTTGGTACAGGAGATATTGCAAATGTTGTCCTCTTGCTCCATTCGAAGGATTAAGTTGTTTGCCATCTATTATAACCTGCAACAATTAGACTCACTTGTTTTGTCTTGAAACAACCGGGTGTAACTACTTTTCTTTTTCCTGCAACGTACCAGGTGTAAATAATCGCTTGCCGAATGGTGATAACCAATTCACACAATGGATCACAATCAATTTTAACAAAGAACCTGAGCTACACTACACTACTGCGGTGTCGTATCTTATAGCCATATGCTTCTAGACCACAACTGAAAATTCATGAACCATGCGATGTGGGTTAGCTAACATCTTGACATGATTGCAGGTGAGGATGGCAGAGGAGAGTGTGAAGATGGTTACAGGGGCTAGACAACTTCACCAGGCCATTCCTGACATGCAATCTCCCCTCAATGTCAACTCTGATGCTTCTGTGCCGATCCAGAACAACAACCCAATGAACTACTTCTCCAACGCTAACAATGCCGGTGTTAACAGCTTCATGCACCAGGTTTCTCCAGCGTTCCAGATTGTGGATTCTGTCGAGAAGATTGACCCAACAGATCCAGTGCAGCTGCAGCAGCAACAGATGGCGAGCTTGCAGCATCTTCAGAATAGAGCTTGTGGTGGCGGCGCAAGTTCGAATGAATATACAGCATGGGGATCGTCTCTGATGGATGCAAATGAGCTTGTCAACATGGAGCTTCAGTAGTAGGAGCATATCCTAACAACATGATGAGAGCATTTGGAGGTGCAAATTTGCAACCTGCAAATGCTGTTTTGTAGTAGTAGTTGTTGTCGCTGTTTTTGTCTGAAACTGTAGTTTCTATGGATTTTGGACTTGCTGAGGAACATCTGCGGCTGTTGTTGTTTCAAATTGAGAAAATGAGGGACAATGGGACATGGTGGTCTCCCTTAATATAGCGAAAAATGGTTGGAATATGGGGTATTGTGTTTGTCTCCATTTTGAATGTTTAACTTGTTGGCTGGAACGCATGTTGCGAAAATAGCTTTTAAAACTGTTAGAATCGAATTTGCCAAATTTTACTTGATAGTTTTTTTTAAAAAAAGTTAGTACGAACATAAGTTGATTGGCAATTGCTGAGCTTTTATGAAAGCTTATTATACACATATTTTGGGTCCACATGTGCAAAAATAATCTTAAATATCCCTGTTGATTTCTTAGTGAAGATACAAGTTGAAAAGAAAAAAAACCGAGTGCCTATGGCAGAAATTTGCCATACCTTAGTTTTAGAATGGTCAGAGCCCTGTTGGCCCTAGTTTTAGATTACAGTCCAAAACAAATGAATTTTGTAGCTTGATTTTCTTTTGGAATAGGTCTATTCATATATTTGCTTTAGTTATCTTCTTACTCCCTCCGTTTTATAAGCCGTTTTGATTTTTTTTATAGTTTGACAAAATTTATATAAAATATAATAGTATTTCCAAAACATATTATCTAAATATATTCAATATTAGATTTAATAAAATTAATTTGGTGTTTTAGATATCGCTAAATTTTTCAATAAATTTACTCAAACTTAAAACGTCTAAGTAGCAACCACTGAAAAAAGGAGAGCCGTGAAAAAGCAACTAGGAAAACCCTTAGGGCCTGCTTGCGGAGCTTAAGATTCTGAGAAGCAGCTGGTTGATAGCCAGCTTCTTAGAATCTAGAAAAATTGGGTTTTCCAGCTTATGGCTTCTAATTCATTTTCTGGATTCTACAACTACAACTTATCAGAATCTGGATCAAAAGCTGGATTGTTTGGGGGAGCTTCTGATTCTTTGAGAAGCTGCAGTAGCTAGAAGCTCCCTCAAACAGGCCCTAAAGCAACTAGGAAAGCCCCTAAAATTAAATTGAAAAACAATTCATAAAAAAAAGGATTGCCCACCTAAAACCGGGGCTGGGCATTTGGTATGTTTGATTGAGAAAACGGATAATATGCCACTCCACAAGATTGCAAAGGATAAAATGCCACTCAATACGTTATCATTAGTATACTTTGCCACTTTGAGCAGTTTTGAGACCAAAATACCCTCTAATGTGAAGAGAGGAAGGGAGAAAGGAGCGATGGCGGCCGCGACTCGTCGCCGGCGGGCAGCGAGCGCGCGGGGGTGGGCGGCGAGAAGGGGAGGAGGACGGCCGCCGGGGGGGGGGGGGGGGGGAGGACAGCGCCGCCAATCGAGGGAGGAGGGCGCCGACAGGGGGAAGGAGGACGGCGCGGCCGACCAGGGGAGGGCGCCGACGGAGGGAAGGAGCGGCGCTGGCGCGTTGCTGATGAGAGGAGGAGGACAAGGCGGTGGCACCCACGCGCGCTCGCCGCCTCTAGCACTTCCTGCGCGCGTGCAAGCGCTTGCTGCTCACGGCGTCTTGATGGCGTGCAAATGGAGCAGCAAGCAGAGCCACACGCATTTTGAAGCAGAGCAGCAAGTGGAGCGGCAAGCAGAGCCACACGCAGCAACCAACGCGACGATTCCGGAGCGAGTGTTGCCATCTTGATGGTGTGCAAATGGCCGGACCCTGCCTGACGGCGATGAGCACGGCCGTCGTTGCTCCTCTCTCCCTCTCTCTCCAGAGTGGGGGCATTTTGGTCTCAAAACTCCCCAAAGTGGCAAAATATACTGAAGATAACCTATTGAGTGACATTTTATCCTTTGCACTTTAATAAGTGGAATGTTATCTTTTGCACTCCTGTGGAGTGGCATATTGTACGTTTTCTCAAGTTACGTTGATGTCCACGATGCAAATGTCCGGGCTTCTCACTGCCATGTGGGCCCCACTTGTCTGGCCCCGCTAATCCTCGTTCGCCCGCAGCTAAACCAGGTGACGTCGAACCCACACTCACCAATCAATCCGCCTCTCCGCAAACCCGCGGGCCGCCGCCGCCGCCACCGCCGCCGCCGATTCATCGAGTGACGGAGAGAGGTGTTCGGAGTGAGGAGGAGAGAGAGAGAGAGAGAGAGAGAGGGGATCTCTTCTTCTTCCTCGCGGCCGGCGCCGGCCATGTCGTCGATTGGGACGTCGAAGGGGGTCCTGGAGATCGCCAAGTTCGGGGTGTACGTCTCCGTCCCCGTCGCGCTCACCTACCTCGTCGCCACCGACTCCAAGACCCTCAAGAAGCTCATGGGCCTCGTAATCTCTCTCTCTCTCTCCCTCTCGTCTTGATTCCCCCTTCTCTTCTGTTCGGCTCTCTAAGATCAGGATTGGTCGCTGGATGGGGGTGAGGATTTTGCCCCCTTTTGATTAGGTTTTGGTAGCATATATCCCAATCGTCCCACCACCGCGTAAAGTAGCACTATCCAATTTGAGGATTGAAATTCATGCTAGGATTTTAGGCGCATTTTGGGGTTCGATCTTAAGAAGAGGGAAGAAATGAGAATTGCATTAGTAGAGAGTGGAGAGTGGCACTCGACCTTGAGCTGAATTTTGGCATTGGTGGTGACCGATGGCGCTGCAGACGGAAGCGGAGATATCTACATTTGAGCTTGAATTCATTCCTACGCCGTTTCGTAAGATGAAGAAGCCATTGGATCCTGATTCTTCCAGAATCGTGCTGATGAACAATGCATATGCCTTGTTGGATGGCTATTCCCTTTCTGGTGCGGGTTTTGTTTGTAGCTTGTTCGCGCTGTTGCTATTAAGCGATTTAGAGAGCTAAGCTTTGTGGTGTCAAGCATGTCAACTCACTGACCATATTTATCTGCCACTGAAACTTTGCTCAATTTGTAGGCAGCAATGCTAATGTTGTGAGGGTGTGTAGGCATATATCTGCTTATATGTGGTTCATTCACAGATTATCGTGTTATGATGTTCTTTTTTCCTGATGAATACTTACATTTTCTTCATGTTTGTTGCATCACAAAATTAAAAGAGAAGATCTATCTGCCAATCATTTTCATGTGACCCATTTTATATGTTTCTATCACTTTGCTTCTCAATGGTGATATATAGAAGTCTGAGCTAATGCTCTGTATTCTTCCACTGCAGCGTGAATACGTGGTATATCCTCCCGAAGGTCCACGTCCACCACCTCCTGAAGAACTTCGTGAAAGGGCTCGCAAGATAGCTCGAAAGAGGCAACAACAACAATAAATACATGGACCATGATCACTTCGGACTCCCGCTATTTGTGACGAAACCGTGAGTCCAAGAGGAAGCTCAGAAAAGTGAAGACCAGCTGACTGTTTTTATCAATATGTGACTGTATGATCTTGTTGCTGTAAGATTTGAAATAAACCCAACTTATGTAAAATCTGTAAGAAACACAGTAGTAGCTTCATCAATAACTTCGTTCTGTTCCCCTGGTGATTCATGAAATTTAGAGACCGGTTTCTTCTGATGGTTCATGAAATTTCAGCTGCTCTGGCCTGTACACTACCAGATCTTCTTTGTTATTATCTAGTGTGCCATAATATACAAAGAATGATCTTTACATTGAAATAAAGTATGGTTATATTTCTTTGTTACTATAAGCATTTCGATATAGAACAAAGATTGATTATCATTCATACGTTAGCGTTTGCTTTGCTTGGTGGGTCAGTAAGACTAAGAGCCGTGAGCTGAGCCTAAATATTCCCTTCTTGGATTGCAAGAGAAGCTTCTTGCAGCGTGTGCATAGAGCCAACATCCTTTTGCCGTCCACTATCCATCACACGGCAAAAGGATATTTTCATGGATTTTCCCAGCGATTTGCATCATTCATCACCATTTCTAGACCTGGATTAATCTGTTCTTGGGCGACTGGAGCTTCCGTAAGAACCTCTGTACAAAGGAAGCAATGATCTTCCTATTCGTTTCCTGACACCGAGGCAACGCCAGTAAACAGCTAAAAATGATAGCACAACAACAATTGGGATCACCCATCTGCACAAGACAAGCATCGTAACAGTAAGGAAGGCAAAATAGAGATTACATTCATGTTGTGCACTTCACAGAGAGAAGAAACTTGCCTGTCAATATCAAGAACTGGGTTATACACAATGGTTTCCCATGAAGAGACGATCATGTGCCAGATGGGATTGTAGTACAACAATTCTGACGACCAGAATAATCTCGTGTATGTCTCTAAGAAGATGAATATCACCCATGCAGCAACTTCGAGTAAAAAGAACTTGATCACAAAGCGCGCAATCACAATCATGACCAAGGAGAACGTCACCAGCCAATTGAATAGTTTGTTGTTGTACTCCTTGATGAAAAGAGCACGAGACCTTGCGAGCATCTGTGACCATGCAGAGATAAGGTTATCATCAAGGAGTATATCAGTTCAAGAAAGATTGGTGCAGGAATACACAACACAAGTAATAAAGAACATAGTTGGACAAAAAATGAGTTTCAGGTAAAACTTACAACATATCAGAACGTGCTGGTGTATTTACCAGGAAAAAAAAAAGAGGAAGGAAGGTGAATAAAGATGTTTTACTTTCGAATTCTACATATGGACAATCATCTCTGCTTTTCCCTTTTGCTATTCATAATGGGTGAAATGGTACCTACTACATGAAACCTTGACTCGATTTGACTTCTAAAAATGCTCACATAAGTAGCAGAGAAAAACTACCTACTCTGTCATAAGAACTACTGGTCAAAGTTGCAACAGAATTGATCAATGGTGATAATTAGTATATAGGAACGGAGGGAGTATTGAAAAACTTGATGCAAAATCTGATAGTCAAAAGTGATATGCTACTTTTGTAACTGGATACACCTAACAACTCCATGTATTACTGCATTATCCCTAAATTGATCTGAATTTTAAGTGGGTACAAAATCCATTTGTTCTTTCCCATCATAGAAGATGTCTCAAGTTAAAAGAGACGGACCTTTGACATCCTACGTTCATAGCTTTCCTTGGCAGGCCCCACACACTCCATTTCAAAACTCTGGTTACAGCGAAGAAATCCAGCATTAAATTTTGCCATCGAAGGAAGCTTCAAGGATTGAAGGTGTTCCATTTTATCTTCACACTCTGAAAACTTTGCTTTGCACAGCTTCGATGACTGGTACTCATTGGCAAAACCAAAGTTTCCGAAGACCTAAAAAGAATACCCAGTTAAACACATTGAAGATATATTATCCATTTTGCATAGGTTGTAAGCAACAAACGAGTTTTATTCCTAAATGGAATGCTTCAAATGTAAGAATCTCACCAGAGATACCCTATAAAATCTGAAAGAAAAAATTCGTTCGTGTTCAAAACAAAGCATCCAAGCACAAAAGGCATGGAAAGAAATCCAACTTGTTGCTACACAAAAGATGTACTACCACTACACAATGAACTATCAAACTTGATTTATGGCTATTAGTAATTAATAATAGAATTTTATGACAGAATATGAAGAATCAAGTGTTTCTTATGTGAAGAACTGAAGACCATAGCATCTCAGTTCGATATAATGTTTATAACATATACTTCAATCCATATTCATATTCATTACAACATAAAAATTGCATCAATGACGTCGTTTTATTATCTGAAAATGGAAGACAACATTAAACACGCATGAATATTTATTGTCAGGCAAACCTTTCTCATCTCTTCATCAAGCTTGAGGATGGATCGGGTAGTATGATGTTTACCAAAATGCTGCTTGTCAAAGAGCTTTCTAGCTTCATCTTCTGCCAAATTGTGAATCAGCTGAAGTTTATCCACTGATACTGGTAGACCCACTCTTTCCATTCTTTCATTATACAACTTTAAGCAGCGCTCAAGAATTGCCTTATTGAATACTTCTACAAGTGATCCTGTTGATGGAATTTCACCTTTATTCAACGCCTCAAGTATCTAAAATAAAGGTAAGCAACTTCAGATAACAGCTCACAAGAGTTTCAAGATTACCTGCCTAAGATGCATAAAAAAAAACAAGCCAAGAGGTATTACCTGCCTTAGGAAAGATACAAACTCCTTTCCATTTAGAGTTCTACCCTGCAAAAGTTTTGGTTTTATCATGGAAGTAACAATTTGCTTCAACTCATCTCTCCTTTCTATATATAATGGGTCCAGTTCTTGATCGTCCATGTCACATAGCTTTGTTCTTTGAAGATGAGGCTGGCAAAAAAGTTCATAATGTAATAACTTAGTGATGTAAAGATCACAGCACATAATCATCAAAATGAGCATATATGTTAAAAGGTAGCTCAATACCAAAAATTTTATGAATTGTGATAGTAATGATGTTAAATGCACAAATCACTTTTCCCTAAAAAAAACATATCTCATGTTTTCCCCCCACCATGATCATGTTTTCACAAACCTGGGGTAAGCTAAAAGCAGTGCTGTTATCGCCCATAAATGCCAAAGAGTCTCTGATTCGGTTGACCTAAAATAACATGAAAACCATGTTTCTTCAAACAAATTAGTATGCCATATCTTCCAGTTATTAGCATATAGCTCGAACTAATTGTACCTCATCAATATATTTGTCTCCTGCAGCAATACACAAAAGTAGGTTAATTCAAGATCCCCACTTCAATTGTTTCATGAAGAAAGAAAGGAAATAAATATCATCATGATAAAAACCATTAATACGGTAACTTGAACTAACCATTGTTGTTAGGCACCCGTTGGAGAGCTTCATCAACCATTTGCTGGACAGATTTTCCTTCTGCCTCATGAAAGTTAACAATGTTAAAAGAAGTTTAATATCCTAAAAACAAAACAGCAACAACAAACGGTGAAATGCAAAACAATAGACATTTGACCAAAATAAAGCACGAGACCTGTATATTTCCACTATTGCTAATATACAGCACATATCAAGTTATTAACTAGTCCCTCTGTAGTCTGTACCGCAACATAAGTCCGACCTCACAATGTACAAACATTAATACAAGGCAATTAGAACTTTTTATGGTCCGACTTGTGATTTATTGTCTATTCTTGTTATGAAAATCTAATTCTCATCTAGTATTCAGAACATGCTGAAAGGAATACTTGATTATCAAAATAAAATTGTTCATATGTAACGCAAACAGAAACTTACGGAGGAAATCCCTCTGGATAAGCCACAGTAGTTTTGCTGGCTCAAAAGCAACATCTTGCCCCTACAGAGACAAGCACTGTAACTTTGACATAGTGGTTCTAGTTTAAATAATTCTAACACTTAAGGTTAAGTATTACCTTCACTCTGGAGTCAACAAATGCCGACAGAAAAGTGGAAATTTTGTTAGAACATTAAGGAGGCACTTAGTAAATTGTAAGCTCCAAATAGGAATGGCAGAAAGCAAACCTTCCATAGAATTCTTCAGCAATTTCAACAGCAAATGAGAGTCTAGATATATCAGCTTCACGAATCTATGATCAAGATAAGTCAAGTTAATAGCTATCAAATGAGAGAATGGAGGTGAGCATGTCATGAGCCAGAGAAACACACCGTCTCTGGAAGATTGTAGATAAGGATAGAACTTAAAACAGTGGCCAGAGCAAATATCCTGCAACAAAAACAAAAGAACTAACAGTCCATTTTTCACCATTTAAAATTCCAATTCAAACTTAATATGCATTTCATCTATAAGCAACAAACCTATCATCATATACATTTGATTTTCCGATGCTCTCAAATCCCTCAGTGTCCAGGTAAAGGACAGAAACTTTGGAGCCATTCACATCTAACTCAATGGGAGTACCCCAGACCCATATACCTTCAATATGTGGAGCAGAGTGTTAGAATCCTTCAATTAGGATATGGAATCATTTAGGATAACATTACAAAGTTGTCATTGGCACCACCAAACCTTTTGTTTTGGTATCTCGCATATGTCCAACTCCAAAACCTGCAGAGCCAATTTATCAATCCATCATTCCAAGTATCCTCTTTCCTGGAGCATGGTATGTATGTAAGGCAGGAACTCATTGTACCTTTATTGCATGTTAGGGAGAGAAGCTGATTGAGAAGAAAAGATTTTCCAGATCGATATGGCCCAATAACCTGATTTGAGAGTCAGAGACATATAACTCAGCATGCACCACGACAAAGAAATAAATATAGTGCCTTGGCATTAGTTGGGAAAAGCAAACTATCAGGTATTTATGTGAGCTACAGCCCATTTAAACATACAGCGACAGCAGCTATTGGTGTTTCGATTCTTTTAATTGCCTCCAAACCTTCTTTTGCAAGACGGAGTTTAGTGTGACCATGATCTGGTTCGACGATTGGAAACCTGCACAACTATCTTTGTTAAAAAAAAAAGAACTTCCAAAACCACAATAATTTTTCTTTGCAGTCCACTGATTTGATAAATATGAGCGTTGTAGCAAATGATGTTTTCCATATGAACAAGTAAATGAAACACAACTACTGCATGATGCTAGTAGTACCAGCCATATACATGTTGTACTCTCATTCACTCAGCATTAAGTCGAAGAAGCAGACCTACGATGATTCTGTTAAGTAACCAAGTCTACAATCTTTCATCAAAACAATTAAGAAGGTGCCTTTCATATGGTTAGATCATCTGAGAGTTCCAAAGCCGGTTCAACTGGGGCACACTATGCTGACACGAAAGCGGCTTCAGTTTTTTTTTTAGGAAAATAATGGGAATGTGTCATCATTTTGTTTGCTATTGCTCTAATTACTTCAAAATTTTCCATCTTCAAGATGTGTCTTCCCTTTCTTAATTATCCACATATGTAGGTGAAACTTAGCAAGTTGACATCCATTAACCAACAAAGTATCTACCCACCACGCTCAATTAGTCCGGTTGATGCAAGTAGCAACACACCGGCTACCTACTCCACATCTCACATGAATAATCCACTTGGTTTCTCATTTCAACCATGCATCAGCAGCTACCTGCTCCCCTCCAATATCCCACTTCCCACACAATCATCTCAAGTGCCCATTTCCAATGTGGCGTTAAGAGATAGGAAAAAAAACAGCCGCAATTCGGCCGTACTAACTTGAATTTCGCAGCATGACAGCATCGCGTGCGACAGATGAACACGAAAAATGCACACCGGAATCTCCATGTAATCTCAACCCCATTAAGCTAGGCAACAACAGAATGCAACCAAAAGCAGAGTCTGATGCTATACGATTGAAAAAAAAAACAAACAATCAGAAGCTGCCTCTGGTGAATCGCACTTACGCGCGTTCGAGCTCGTCCTGATCAGGATCCAGCGCAGCCGCCGCCACCACAGCGGCGAGCATCCACAGCACCGCCACCGCCGAAGCGCGACTCCGCCACCCCATCCGCGCGCGCTCTCCCTCCCGCTCGGATCCTCCCCCCACCGCTCCACGCCGCGCGAGCAATCACCTCCGCCCGCCGCCAACGGAACGAAACGCCACCGATCACCTCCGCCCGCCGCGCACGCACCGAAATGGCCTCAACTCCTCAACTCCTCTCGTCGGCTTGGAGTCGAGGGCGAGATCGATCGAACGATCGAACGATCGGGGAGGGGATCGGGTTGATATAGCGGATGGGGATTTGGGGATTGGAAGCGGAGGAGGGTTTCCTCCTCCGGCGAGAGGGGTTGCTTGGAGGCGGGAGGGAAGGAGACGTCGAGGCGAGGCGAGCGAGGTGGTCGGAGGCCAAGAGGAAGGAGATGGCTTGGCTTGGCTTCTCTCGTTATTTCGTCAATCCATCGTTTCAAATGGAGGTTTTCTTGTTTTTTTAGTATTGGAAAGAAAATCCATTTTACACCTTAAATTGTTTTATATTACATTAGTTCACTTAACCTTCTAAACTATTCCAACCGTTTCATATTATAATTTATTTGATTTTTTTTCTTTTAGTCAAAATTCTTCAATTTTAACAGAGTTGATAGTAAAATATAGCAATATTTTTAATATAAAATAAATATTGTAATAAAATATATTTAATGCTAAATTTATTAAAACTAGTTTGGTGTCATGGATATTGCTAATTTTCTCTATAAACTTGGTCGAAACCTAAAGAATCTTGACTAATTAATAAAGTCAAATAACTTATAATATGAAATGGATAAAGTAGTAATGTATTGGTTTTTTCTTATTTTACACCTCTGATGGTATTTCTCCTTTTCCTTTCCCCATGTATAAGTTATATTTTGCCATAAAATTTGGTAGAATTGATAAATGTGTTATAACTTACCTCTCAAATTTTATTATTATTGTTTACATAGATCGGAAGCAATGAGACTAAATTAAATACCGAGTTTTAAATTTCAAGTAAATAGTAATAAATGAATTTTAAAAAATAGTTTAGAACTTTGATAGTGGTTGACATCTATGTCACTACAAAAATTTTAGTTTAAAATACTACTCGTATAAAGAAAAACAAAGAAGAGACATAATGTTAAGTAAACCATTTTAGTAGTATTAGAGGTAAATTGAACTTAAAAAATAGTTTAGGGGTTCAGGGTAAAATGGACTTATTTTTGTTTGCTTTTTCCTGTTCTAATCTGCGATTAGTGCAAATTGTGGAAGCCTGATTGATGCCACGTGTCAGCCGGGCGAGACATGTGTGTGGAATGGGCTGTGGGCTTGAAGGATATATGGGCCGTGGGCCTGATAGTTTGGATATGTTCAAAGCCCAGTATAGGACCAGAATCTGTCTTGGGGGGTGTCTAGATCTAGGGTAAAGTTTTAGCGTGTCACATCGGATATTTTATAGGGTGTTTGAACACTATTAAAAAAACTAATTACTAAATCCGTCAGTAAACCACGAGATGAATTATTAAGCCTAATTAATCCGTTATTAGTAAATGTTTACTGTAGCATCATATTGTTAAATCATATAGCAATTAGGTTTAAGATTGATTCGTCTCACAAATTACTCACAATCTGTGCAATTAGTTATTTTTTAGCCTATATTTAATACTTTATATATGGTGTAAAATTTTGAGATGAGATATAAACAGATCCTTTGTTGCGTTGTTCTGGCTGGCCGGCTCGGCCGTTGTCTTGGCTCAATTCTCTTTCTCGAGTCAGCTCACGCATTTTTTTAAAAAAAAATGATAATGAAATAACACATAAATTTTCTTTACTCATTTGAATGTTTCTTGTGGTGGTACCACCCACTGACATATAGGCCTCACAAAATGGGCTCGACGTATCTACTAGTATTTTAAAGAAACTATAACCACTTATTATAAACTATTTTTTTTAACATAAAGCCGCTAAAAAGTCAAATATGAAGCAATAATAAGTCTCAGAAACTTTATGGCAGAAGGACTGATTGACGCATATATGTCATACATCTGCAATTTTTTTTATAACGGTATAAACCGACCATTTCCAAATACTAGAACACTTGCCCAGCTGCTTCAAAAGGTATATTCTGCCTCAAAAGGTATATTAGTACATATATTGCCTATTATCATTAATTCACACCTAGCAATCTCGAAAACCATAATTGTTGAGCAAATACACGTAGGCCACACAAGCCACCAAGCCAAATGAGTTGTTTGCGAGTTGCCTCGAGCTCGGCTTGTTTCAATTACAAGTTACAAAGTAGAGTTAGGATGAGTTTGCTTTGTTGAAAAAAGAAAGCTATCGAAACTTAGTAATGCAAAAGTTTTGCATGGTAATATATACTCCCTCCGTCCCTAAAAACCAATCTAGCACTATTAAATATGACACATCGTAAATTCACTCTATTATAATGTGTCACATCGAGTTCTAGACTTACTTTTTTTTTCTTTTTTTACTGAGAGAGTATGCACTGTAGTCATGACCAGACTCGTCCTTAATTATTTTTATTTACTCCCCTGATGCACATTAAGAAAATGGGACAGCGTACTTGCTGCCAGTACAGCAAGTACAAGCTGATTCACATCAGGCGGGGTAAAGAATATTAACAGCTATCTGTCCAAAACAGGAGCAGTTACTGGTACTGGACTAGGACTACGGGTACTCCGATAGTGCAGCAGAAAAGCGAGTTTAATGGTTTCACGGGTACTGACTGACCAAGTATCTACTCCCTTCATGGCAAATCATAAACACCTGTAGAAGTTCTAATTAAGGTTGGTTACAAAAGATAAGGACAGGAATGCTCGTATCAGCGGTTAATTATTTTTTAATAGAGACGTATCCACTGATAACGGAACACATATGATGTTCGGAGATGCTAATAGAGGGTAGTATGTATACACATATAAATATTAGTGTTAGGAAAAAAATACGAAAGAGACGAATTTTTACGCGGAAAACCCCTCTAATGTAAAGAGGAAAAACCACGGAAGACAAAATCAACTATAATGGTTTAGGATTACATGTATAAGGGTGACCCTTATATATAGGCACATATTAAACTAGTGCCTAGGACTAATAATATATTTGAGTCATTATCCAACACCTAGGTCCATATTGTGTTCCGGAAAAAAAAACATAAATAAGAGACGTTTGAAGTTGGAAGTATGGTTAGGGATAATATGAGAAACAAATTGAATGAACGATGATTGATGGGATAGGTACAAAATGAAATGCTTGTATTTGGCACAAAATTCAAATATAAAAGTTGCTTCTATTTTACTCACTTCATCTAACAAACACTTTATTTCTACCAATTCTTAAATAAATTAGTAGTGAAAAGAAATGAATATGGTGCCCCTCATTAATATTGTCATTTCTACATCGTAGGGTCCAATAAATACATATACCTTAGTCTGATTGGTTGTATAACTTCTAAAATTAATATATTTATGTCACAAATTTTAAATGAAACTGGACTACAATCCCTCATAGTTTTCGTGCGGTTTACTACAATAACCACCAAACCGTGGGGTGGCGATAACCCCACCCAAAACGGTTCGGTGAACCCTGGTAATGACCACCGGATTATCACAGGCATGTTTTTCAAACCTATAATTAAATGATGCGATTAAAAACGAACATCATCAGAATTTCTAAGCCAACTTTCTAATACTATTTAATTTACCCCTTTTTTATGCCCGCACTCGAATTGACATACTCCGGCTTGTTAAGAAACAGTTGATTTGGATGATTGTTGCTAGAAACAGTTTGAGGAGCGGGTGAGGTAGATCGAGGACCCCGGGCGTGTGTTTCGCAAACCGTAAAGGCGTGATCGTTGCTTCCAAAGCTAACATAAATTTACCAAGCACGATGCACACGCTAGCTCGTCTTCCATGGTCGAGGCGCAACGCAATGCAAAACAGCACTACAGTTGGTTTTTATTTCACCGTTCCTCGCGTTAACTTTTTACCACCCCCCACACACCTTGGATTCGCCGATCAAACTGCCTGCCTCTTCTTCGGCCACCGTAAAATTTTCTCAACCTAAGAGCATATACAATAGCCAGTATAAACATATTTTAAAAAGATAAAAAAAAGATAAGAGCAGTGAGCTATAAATCTATAGCCAACTGTAGTACGGATTTCAAGACGTAATGTGTGTATGATAGGTAGGACCAGCTATAATAGTATAGCAAGTAATTATTATATAAATTAACTATTATATTAGTTATAGGTGATTTGAAGAGCTAGTAGTGGGATATTTTGCTCTAACCGCGAAATCGCAAATTATGAAGCATCGGTCGGAGCACAGTTTTTTTTCCTTTTTTTTTTACCGATGGGTGGTAAAAAACCGAGGTGAGAAAAGTCCACAGAGAGAGGGAGAGAGAGTAAAGAGTTGGTGGGGGCGCAGCCACGCACGCCATCGTCATGGGACGGCCGGCGCGGCTCCCGAGACGGCACGAGTGCACCCGCACGGCTCGTCTGCTGCCCGCACGCCCGCCGGTGGGGCCCACGTGGGCCACCGCTGCCTCTGCCCCCGGTGTATGACACCTGGGCCCCACTCGCAAAAGTAACCGTCACCCGCGCGTAACTGTCATGGTCAAAGTGGAAGATTAAACTTTACTCCCTAGTAAAAAAAACCAACCTGACCCTTTATAAGGATGAATTTAGACTACCTTTATCCAGATTCATCCTCTAGAATGTTTTTTTCAGGACTAATAGAGTACTCCAGAACAAATATGGACTAGGAACAAGTTTAATAATACAATCTACTATTAGCTTCAAATTATCTATAATTAATCTAGTAAGCTAATACCCTTAGTTACCTATAAATATATACTCCCTCCGTTTTTAATAAATGACGCCGTTAACTTTTTCTCACATGTTTGGCCATTCGTCTTATTCAAAAATTTTATGCAAATGTATAAGATATAAATCACACTTAAAGTATTATGAGTGATAAAATAACTCATAACAAAATAAATTATAATTCCTAAATTTTTTAAATAAGACGAATAAAAGATATGAGAAAAAGTCAACGGCGTTATCTATTAAAAAACAGAGGTAGTACTACACTATTAATATTTAGTCTGCTCTCACATACACAAACAAGCTCTCACATACACAAACAACATGTTAAAGTCTATTGTTATTAGAAGTCTATAATTTGACTATAAATTTATAGCTCTCTTTTTTTTTCACTTCTCGTTATCTTTTTCACATATGTATGTTTATAGTTGGTTTACTTGCTCTATCTAATTTGTGGCAAAGTGGTTGAAAATTTGGAATTCCAAATATTTTCGCAGCAGTGGTTAGTGAAGTATAATTACGCTGCAGGTTTTTTTAGAAGTATGCATCACTACTAGTAGTACTCCATACTTGCATATTTTTTAATACTGCTCCTACTGCCTGCTCTGAGCCTCTGATGATACCAAGTGATATGATACACTCACGCTAGTACAAGTAGTGATTAAGATCTGATTAAGCAACCAGATAATGTTGCATATCTCTAGTTCATACTTTCATTTTTCATCCTCTTCTCAACAATAGGGGGCCTAGAAGCTGTCACAGCTACTGCTCCTTGCACTTCCCTTTTGTGGAAACCAAAATTTGTTCTAGAATAAAAAAAAGAAAAAAGAAAAATGGAGGTGTTTTCTGTAAATGTCTTTTTCCAAAAAATCGGAAAAAAAACTGAGAAAACACCATGAGCTAAGCCTCGGACGGATCAAAGCGGCGATGGAAAAATGAAAAAAAAAACAGAGAAAATTGGCGAGGGAGGAGAGCTGGTTAATTAGCTAGTGTAGTAAAGTGAGTTCTTCGCCGCGGTTAGAGCACGGCGGCGAGCCCGGTCACCACCTTCCCCTCGGGGCGCCGCGGCGGCGGCGGCGGTGACCTTTTCTTGCTCGCCGCCTCCGGCTCCACCGGGCGCCACGGCGATGGGGACACCACCATCGTAATCTTCTTCGCCTCGACCTCGTCGTCGTTGTCGTTGTCGTTGTCGTCGCCGGCGGCGGTGGCGCTGAGGTTTGGTGGGGTCTTGGCGTCGAAGCGTAGCTCGAACTCGCCGGAGAAGCTGGAGAGCGATACCGGCGTGGGCGGGGGCGACGGCGGCGGCGGCGGCGGCTTGTCGGAGCAGCGGAGGACTTGCGGGGAGAGCCACTTGGCGCGCATGTACTCCGGCTTCCGCCATGGCGGGACGTGGAGGCCCTTCTTCCTCAGGCTCTGCCGCGCGGCCTCCGCCACGACGGCGACGATCTGCCCGAGCCGGTCCGGCGTCCCGACGAACAGCGGCGGGAGAGCTTGCAGCGCCGCGCGGTACGCCTTGGTCGACCTCGCCACCTCGAACTCCGACCGGAAGTCCACCTCCACCACCAGCCGCGTCTCCGCCGCCACCACCGCGTCGATGTACTCGTGCTCGCCTGCACAAGGTTTGCGCCGCCCACCGTCGCCGCCGGTCAGCGCCGGCGATTCAGCAGCATCGAATTGGGGGCGAGGTTTAGTTTACCTGCGGGGTAGGAGGGGGTCTTGTCCCACCGCGACTTGCACACGGCGGCGTCGTAGCCGAGGGCGGCGAGGCCGTCGGCGACGGCGCAGCGGACGTCGGCCTTCTTCTTGCCGCCCTTGCGGCACCTCTCGGCGATCCTCGACGCGTCGGCGAGGAGGTTCCTCTCCGCCATGCTCGCGCTCTGCACCAAGCCCTGCGACGACACAAAGCGTTGATCACTCCGGCGAGCAATTGGAAACAACAATCGAGCCGGGGAAAAAGGCCCTATACCTTTAACGCGTCCAGGGCGTCGCCGGCGGCGGCGGCGGCCGAAGCGGCGGCGGTGGCGGAGGAGTCGGAGGGGAGGAAGTCGAACTCCTCGTCGTCGCTGCCGTCCCCGCCGCCGTTGAAGCAGCTGCCGCAGCGGCCACGCGGGGGCCGCTCCACGGCGGCGGCGGCGGAATCCTCCATGAAGCTGAGCACCATCCGGTCCAACCCCACCGACCCCACTTCCATCTCCGCTGCCTTCTCCTCCTTCTCCCTCACCTCCCCGCCGCCGCCGCCGCCCGCCCGCTCCGGCTCCGCGGACACCCGCACAAGCAGCCTCCGGAACCTCGACACCCTCGCCGGCGCCGGCGCCGCCGCCCGCGGTGGCCTCGTCTCCATCGCGCACGGCAACCGCAACGGCATCGACCAACCGAACCCCTCCCTCCCACACTTCCAAACCAAGAATGGCAGGTGGTGCCAACCAACTGATCTTGCCGAGAAGAAACAACAAAGAAGGGCGTCCTAGTACTCCTTGTTCGATTGCCGTTCGCCGGCGGCCATCGATCTCGTCGGGGAGTTCGCCGGAAAAGTTCGTTGGGTGAGACGACGACGACGAGGAGGAGGGGGGACGACGAGGAGTTTGTTCGCGAGGTTTTATAAAGGCGGGAGGGGGGTGACGTGGCGTAGTGGGTGGAGGGGACGTTGACAGGTGGGCCCGGCGGGTGGCTCACGGTATTGTCGCCGTTGTGGGGGAGGAGGGGGAAGTGGACTCCGTGGGCGCAGCTGAAATGACGGGCTTGCCCCTCGGTGGATGTCATTGTGCAGGGGTAGGATTGGGATTTCGCGCGCTGATGGAAATGTGGTTTTCATCTTTGGCAATATTTGCTACGGGACCCTCAGAAAACGTGTAATTAGCTGTGGGACTCAATAAAGATGTGAATTGGCTGTAGGATATTATAAAATAGTGGTAATTAGCTACTAGACACTTGATGCATTATTTTATTATTCTAGTGGAAACAGAGAGAGAAAGAGCGCTGGAAGTACCAACATACCCCCGTGTCGTTTGCTTGTGTTAGAGTCGCATGCCATCAAGAAGCCGCCGTCTGGGGCTGTGGCGGTGCAGGTGCATCAGATGCTAGCCCAGGCGCAAGCAAGGCGAGAGGAGCAAGCCGAGCAACAGCCGCTGCCTCGGGCACTGGCTCTGGCGGCCACGGCAAGGAGCCGATGGAATAGCACCACTTCTCGTCGATGCAGCACCTACCGCCTTGCATTGGCGTCGCCGTCCTCGCCGGTTGCGGCTGCATCGCTGTGCGCAGGCGGCGGCGAGGGCGGCGAGGGTGCGCGCGGAGAGCGTGACGTGGCATAGTGGGCACGATGTGAGTGTCCGCGACGCCATTGATGCCCTACCCACGTTTGCGTACGAGCCTGCCAGCGTGATGGAGAAGGACGGTGTCAGCGGCGCCGCATTGCGTGTGGTGTGCCTCATCAGGAGTAAGAGGACATGAAAATAGTGGAGATGCTGACATCCTTGGCTCACATAGGGAAATCTGGTCCTTTTTCCATTGTTCCTCTCTCCGTTTCCACCGGAAATGATAAAATAATGTCTCCGGTGTCTAGTAGCTAATTATCACGCCATCGATGCCCTACCCACGTTTGCGTACGAGCCTGCCGGCGTGATGGAGAAGGACGGTGTCAGCGGCGCCGTATTGCGTGTGGTGTGCCTCATCAGGAGTAAGAGGACATGAAAATAGTGGAGATGCTGACATCCTTGGCTCACATAGGGAAATCTGGTCCTTTTTCCATTGTTCCTCTCTCCGTTTCCACCAGAAATGATAAAATAATGTCTCCGGTGTTTAGTAGCTAATTATCACTCTTTTGGGATGTCCTATAGCCAATTCACATATTTGCGGTGTCCCACAACTAATTACACGTTTTTTAAGTATTCTGTAGTAAATTTTGCCTTGATCTTTTCGATAGGGTTTTGGGCTTTATTTTTTATTTTTATTATCCGCCATGCCTAAACATGCAAGTATACATTTTAACTATGTTATTATTACTCTCTATATATATAGAAATAAGTTATAAACTCTGTGGTTGTACTTTTCAATATATTTTTCTATAATAACGAAAATTGTAATTTTAAATTAAGGCTTTTGCCTTTCTGCTATATGCGGTCAAAAGTCAAACCCAAAAGGTGAAGTGAGTATAATTTAACTGGTTAGTTTATTTTGCTGAAACCAACCTAGTCGGGTTCAAGTTCTAAAATTGACATGGGTGCTCACATTTGCGGCTAATTATTCTGTCAGTGGTAAGTGACGTATCCATCAACAGCGAGACATCCGTGGTGACTTCATCATGTTGGACTCAATCTTCTCAAGGTGCTCATAGGAGTAGGATGTGTGTGTGCATTTATAGATGTGAGTGTGCACATATTATGAGCGTTTTCGTTTGTAATGTGTTTCATTAAAAAAAGTCAAACCCAAATGAAAATAAACTTATAAAACAAAACCTTTAATTTAATTTTAAAAATAAAGTTCTAAAATTTAAAATTATAAGCCACAACACAAACAAGCAAGCCCTTAGGGCCCCTTTGAATAACAGGAATGAAAAAACAGAGGAATATGAAAAACATAGGATTCTGACAGGAATGCAAGTGTAAAACAGATGATTGCAAAACACAGGAAAAACATAGGAATGACTGTTTGATTGGGTCGCAGGAAAAACACAGGAATTCGAGGAGAGATAAAGACACAAAGGATTCTTTCCATGAGGTTCTACCTCATGTTAAATTTCCTTCAAAACTTGCATGGGAAAAGACAATCCATAGGAATTCCATAGGATTCCATAGGATCTATTCCTTTGATTCAAAGGGCTATATAGTAAAAAATCATATATGAATGAAACCCTCTAAAATTCCTATGAATTTCCTTCGAGATTCATAGCGCCTTAATAATCATGGCTTTGGAGGCCTGGTAAAAAAAAGTGGCCACTGAGGGGTTGCTATAAAAACTGGAAGCCTCTGTTATGTCATTTATAGCATAACTTAATATGAATATCAAAATTAGCTACACAGAGAAAAAAACAGTACAATACTTTTATATATAAAACATCGACAGTTTTGTACCAATCAAAATAAGTATATTCAATTTTGATGATAGTTCCTAATTGGTAAGAACCAAACATCCAACATGAAAAAAAAAAACAAACCATATGAAATTATTCAAAATAATAAAAAATGTATATATCGATGCTATATAGAAGTTAGTGGTCATATCAACCATCACGGTTGTTCACGTGATACTATGATATTGTAATAACTGTCGTGTTCTGAAAACGCTATCGCTGCCTATTTTGATATATAAATAAGTTAATAACTACTTCATTTCAAATGTACCTTTGAAAATCACATTAACAGTTAGAATAATGGTTAAAAATCGCACAATCATTCCTCGAAAAAAAGCACAATCATTTCAGTTTAATTTAGTCTTCCTGTTCCTCCATCTCATAATAAGTTTACTATTAGCTCCTGTTATTTATCCCAAAATAAGTTTATTTTTAATAATCATTGCATTAGAGTTTATAAAAAAGAAAATAATTATGTTGGGAGTAGATAAAGTGAGAAATATTTGCATTGAGATATTTAATAAGTAGGGATATTATAGTATTTGTGGTTTTGTATTGGTATGTGTGGGATAAGTGAAAAATAAACTTATTTTAGAATGGAGATGGTAGTATCGTACAACCAGCCTCAAAGTATTCATTGGGTTTATTGGTATCTTAGCTCTAAATATTCTTTGAGATAGAGCTAGGTTTTTGAGATAGAGTTAGGTTAGACAAAGTTATTGGTGAGCCATCATCTGATTATTATGGAAGAACATAAATAGTGGTTCGAAGCCACTGATTTGTCTTTTAAAAAATTAGCTATACAAATTCGTCAGTTTTTTTTAAATCAAATATACTATAATATAATTAAAGTGTACTTATATTGTAGATATACGATATGTAACTAGTGTAAATTCAGCTAAAAATTACTCATGGTTGGTTGGCTAACGTGGCTTCCCACCAAGGATTCCGGGTTCGACAACTGGATGGCCACAAACTGAAAATTAGTTTTGAGAGGAAAAAATATTAGCAGCTTTCTAGCAAAATCAGTAAAATAACCACTGATTTAGCCTACAAACTCTATACAACATATTAAAAAAATTGTGTGGGTTGGAGCTATTAAACTGGCAGTATAAGTGACTGTCACACGTCAAAGTGTACTTTTTTTTTAAGAACTGCTCAATCTGTTCTAAAATAAACTCAACTTCCTATCGGATTTGACATATTATGATGAATCTAGACACACTTATATCTAGATTTATTATACTATGATGTGTCACATCTGGTCTCAACTATTTTGGGACTGAGAGACTAGTTAAAATTTTACTAACTAATTAAATACTGGACAATGACGTATATATTTGACAGTGATAATTTGATGCTTACGTACACAAGCCAAACCCACTGATTGATCTACAGTTCTACACAAACAAACCCTCCCAAAAAGATACAGTTCATCCCGGCCCAGCTGGTGGGCTCCACACTGCCCACCTCGCTTTCGGTTGGACCGGGCCGATTCGACCAAGTACACGTGGCGCGGCCTCAGGAAGCCACAGACACGGCCACAAGCGCATCGCGGCCGGGATGATGCCTTCCGTGCTCAGTAGGGATCGGCGTTTTTTCTTTTTCCAAAAGGCCAAAAACAAATCCCCCCGGAATGACCGTGCTCATCGGTAGTTTATGACTGATTATAAGGTAGTAACAGTTTATTACTGAGAAAAAAATTGTGAGTAAAATTTTTGTATATCCATCCATAGCAACTTAAAAGTTAAAGCCGAAAAAAACTACGCCGAAAAAAACATCAAATCAACTCTAAAATTAAGTTTTAAAATTCGAAGTTTGACGTTGGCTCCTTTCTGATTAAGTTTCAAAAAAAATACAAGCTAATATTTAAAATTTGATCATATTGTGTTGGGATTCAACTGTTTTTAAACATTTTTTATAACATTAGGAAAACCGTTATCTCCCATTTTGGATCAAGAACATTTTGGTGAACCGTCCTACAAGCACAGCGCGCACCAAAGAGCGGTGATGACGTGCTTTCCGGGATCTTCTACTCTCGCGTGTGGTGTACATGTCCAGATACATCGTATGGTTTTCTCTGTGTAGTTTATGATTTCATTTGGTACATTTTTTTTTGTCTTTTGATAGCAACACTATCTCATTTTCCTTGCTGGGATGGACAGCGGTTGGATTGGTTGCAAGGTGGTCTAGGCTTGGATTTATCAGCTACAACACCACATTTTGATTTTTCAGGACATGAATGAGTGAATGGATAGCATGATATATTTTAGTGTTTTGTAGAACTTGTGAAATATCAATAGCAACAACCTTTTAATACCAATTACAGTTGTTCCCGTGATTACTTGATACAAGTAATGGCTTGTTACCCTAGTTGTTTTCTATTTTGTTCGATGTAAATAATGGCTTGTTACCCTAGTTATTTCCTATTTTGTTCGACGTAAATAACTTTGTTTGATGATTTATACATTACACATGGAATCTAAATTAAAGAATCATTGGTTAACTAAAAAAAT